CCTCTCTTCTTATCAGCTGGACACTTCACTCTCCACTCTAGTCCTCTGTGGCTATGTCACTGACTCTGGGCCCAAGAGTCCCCAGGTCTTGCCATACTGCTGGCCAACCAGGTCTCCACCCGGGTTCATAGGAGTCTATTGAACGTTGTAGGGCTTAGCTCGCAGCTTCATTGCTGTTTTTCCCTCACTTCCCCTTATCGGTGACCAATGTGGTCACCAATCAGAGTGCATATCTGCTCGTGTATTCCCATTGAGTCTTAGTCTTGGAAGGGGGTTTTCCCTGAGGGACGGACCTGACCCCTTGCCTTGATGTCTCCTGGGCGAGCAACTTGCTTGTTCTTGTAGTAATCAGTCGGACTGCTGTTACTGTTTTATATTTTTTCTGTCAGTCTTTCAAGAATTACCTTCTGTTCTTCTAGCCACTCTAGGCTGGTCTGCTTGTCCTTTCCAGTGGAAATTTCCCACCTCAGAAGATTTTGGATGGGGTTCAGGAGTCCACCTGTGGTCTTATGGAATGCAGAAGCTTGGTCTCCTGTGGCTGTACTCCTCCCTGTGGATTGTTTGGTTGGAAGTTGCCCCCAGAAGTGGGTTCAGTTCCAGGCTTGAAGGGTGTCTATAGGAGCCGTAGTCTCGGGTTTCCTTTTACTTTTTAAAGATTGAAACTAAATTCTAAGCTTTCATGTGGCTCGTTGCTTTTCTTTTGTTTCTACTTTTTTGCCTTTGGAGGCTTTCCTGTTCAGATGATCTTCAGTCGTATCACGATGGTATGACTGTCCAGCTCTTCTATTTCCTGCTTTCATTTTGTCTGATGTTTAGTATTCAGTCTACTGAATGCATTCTGAATGATGGTGGGAGGGAGGGTCTAATTTTACCTCCCCCCAAATGGTTAGCTTGGAGTCCTGGTGTGGTGCTGTGGGATAAAGCAGTGACCGCGAGGTTGGCATTTCAAACTCACCAGTCACTCCTTGGACACCCCATACACAGTCACTATGAGTCGGAACCGACTCAGCAACCCTAAACAACAACAACTGGTTAGCTCTAGTTGTCCCAAGTACTAGTTTATTGAGTGTTGTTGTTGTTTTTAAGTGTTGTCAAATCGGTTCCAACCCAGAGCAACCCTGTATAGGGTTTCCGAGGAGCAGCTAGGTAAACTTGAACCACCAACCTTGCAGTTCAAACAACTTTTCAGTCTGGTTTATTAACCCACAGCTCCATAATCTATCCTTAATCTGTCAACATAATCTACCAACTTTATTTCATACTAAATTCTCTTTTAAACATGTTTCTATTTTAAACAACTTTCTATTCTTTAATCAATGTGTCTGGCCCTCTTCTACAGCCATGCCCCTTTTGTTAATGTAGTTTTTTTAGTTATCTGGAAAGGTAAGATTCTCATCCTACACTGCCCTCATTCCCAGATACTGATACATCATAAACTATGGACAGCACTATTGTTTGCATTTTTCAGGACTAAAGCTCCATTAAACTAAGTTAAAGTTCATTTAAAGTACCCACTCTCAGTGGGTGCATGGGCTGGGTCCTGAAGGACTCCTCTGCTGCCCGCTGAGGCCCTATGTTCCTTCTCCAGCTTCTAAGGAACCTCTCCTCATGTTGCCGCATATAAAGTTCACCAGCCTGTGTCTTCCTCAGCACCTTTCAGGTTTCCCACGGTGTCTGGGACCCACAAAAATAAAGGCAGTACCTCATGTCTCAGGAATGGTTATTGGGGTTGGTCTCCATGATTAAAAACATTCTTCAGAATAATATGAGAGGGCTTCAGAAAAATTCATGTAAAAATTTCATTGCCTTTTAATTCCACCTTCCAGAGAACTTTCTGAAGCCCTGGCACATGCTGATAAATTCCAGTTATCAGCAGAACTGCTTAAGCAGGGAATCAGAGCTCCCTCCATTCCCTGGAATCACCTGAAGGAGGCCTGGAGGCCTGAGCAGCCTGTCGGCTCCAGTCCTAGTCAGGGACATACCTCCCCACCCACTAGTCAGGGACATACCGCCCCACCCGCTCAGATAATGACTCTTCTCCAAATTAGTGGAAGCCGGCGTGTGCTTCTGAGGAGGGGGAGAAACTGTCATCCTTGTCCGTTACCTCTGGGATTGTCACATGGGGCAGCCATTGTGGAAACATTGGCAGTTTCTTCAGAAGTTAAACAGAATACCCATGAACAAAACCTAAACACGCTACTGTTGACTTGGTTCCAACTCAGCGCAATTCTATACAGAGTTCCTAAGACTGTCAGCCTTTACAGGGGCAGACAGCCTCATCTTTCTCCCACGGCACTGCTGGTGGACTTCACCTTAGGGGAGCGCCCCAACACCTAACCCACAGCACCACCAGACCTCCTGGAGGAGAACCGAAGGAGCCAGCTCTTTCTCTCCACGTATGCACCCAAGAGACCTGAAGGCAGGACCTGTGTGCACAATAGCCCTAAAGTGAACTCAGCCTCAGTGTCCACCCCGGAAGAACGGAGAAACAAGATGTGCTGTGTGGATATATGAGGGGGCTTCCAAATGGTGGAAAATTGTCTTTCATTTCATTTTTGCATAAAATTGAAGCCCCCTCATATATACTCACAGTGGGATTATGGGGGGACCTTAAGCATATGAGGTTAAGTGACCGTGTATGGTCCCCACATCTGTGAGACACCCAGAAGCAGTCCGTTGAGAAACAAGTTGACTGTAGGTTGCCAGGGCCTGGGGAAGAGCATTAGTGTTTTAGGGGCATTGAGGTTCTCTTTGGAATGGTGACAAACTGCTGGAAATAGTCCTGAGACTGTCATTAACGTCACCGAATTATCCACTTAAAGTGGTTGAGGTGGCAGGGGTTTTATTTTTTGGTGTTTCTTTTTTGTGCGTTTTACTGTAACAACAACAACAAATGTGAACCCCTTGTCGCTGAGTGGATCCCACTGCAGAGCTCCTTCTGGGGGTTTCTGAGACTCTAAGTCGTTTTAGTAGGCATTCTCGTCTTTCTCCAGTGGAGCTGCTGGTGGATTTGTACCACTGACCTGGCGATTGGCAGTCCAGTGCTTATCCTTCAGCTCTACCGTAATAAGATGGAAAACACCAAGACTCCTGCACACCGGCTCTGGTGCTGGGAGTGGCCGCGGAGGAGGAGGCCTGCTCAGCGGAGCTTTCCATCCCTGCCAGCTTAGGGGGCACAGAGGGCACATCTGTGTGACTCTTTCCCAATCCCTTGAGGCTGACTTGGCCTGGAGAGGTGGTGCTGCATCCCCCTTCTGGAGGGGCCAGGGCTGGCCAGGGCCAAGGCCTAGGGTGAGCTCTCCTATGGGTGAGGGAGTCTGAGACCCAGCTGATGGGTGCCTTTCTCTCAGTCCAGTCCCTGCCAGGCCAAGAGCCTCGGCACCTCTCCTATACCCGCCAGACAGGCCTCACCTAGGGCTTAGGAGATGGGCTCCCAGGGATGAGGGCCCCACAGTGCCTGGTCCTGTGCCCTCCAGTGGCTCCTAGTCGAGTGGGGGAGGCACCTGTGCGGGGAGTAACCTTATGCCGTTTCCCCCTGGTGGCTCAGTGGCTAAGGTTGCCCAGCTGCTTGGCATGAGAAAGATGTGGCAGTCAGCTTCCATTAAGATTCCAGCTTAGAACCCTCTAGGCCAGTTCTCTTGTCCTGCTGGTCCCTCTGAGGGGGCATTGCCTGGGGGACAGCAGGGTTTGATTGACACATGATCTCTCAGGCTGTGGGAACATGTCTGAGTAGTGGGGAACATCTACAGTCTGCAGTAACTGTCAGGTGATGGGACATTGCTAGCGATACCAAAGCCATGGGATCTCCATCGCTCTCTCTGCCTGTATTAATAAGAAGGAATGTTAAATTGCAATTAGTGAGGAAAAGGTCATTTTTCCCCATTCAAGCTCACCACCCTTTGATGGTTGATGAGTTTCCTGGTCCCTGAACCTCATTTCACATCGTTTGGTTGGACTTCTTGAGTCTGTCCCACTCCTGTCCCCATGGGAGCTTGGTGGGGAGGGAACCCTAAGGCTGCAGGATGGGCGGCAGACACCTGGGATCCCTTGTGCTTCTCCCAGGCCCCTTAGCCCATGAGGAGATGAGAGCAAGAAGACATAGGGCCTGGACTTTGGGGAGGCTCTGGGGCCTCCCTCAATCTCTTTCCTCCAGCCCCACCTGACAGGTCCCAGAGGGTCAGGCAGGTGGGTCCAGCCCCGCTAACTCAGCCCTGCATTGTAGAGTTCAATGCTAGACTCCTCCCTACCAACCACATGGTCCCAGGTGCTGGCTCAGGCCCTCTATCTCCTCCCCCCGGGCATAGGCTACGGCTTGAGGAAATAGAAGGGGGCTACCAAGGACCTATGTGCCTGCCCCCCCAGTGTTGTTTGTATACTCTATGTTCCCCCTAAGATGGCCACAAGGCCAGATACAACCATGACCCTGTCTTCCTGCTAAAATCCAAGCTCTCATAGTCCCAAACTACAAACAGGGGCCAGGACTTGTTGAGTTTGGGGTGCAGCCCTTTATTTCTTCTTTGAGCCTCTGGCCTTTGTCCCTAGTTCAGGGACCTAACCATGACTAGCCACTGGTGGCAGAGGATGTTTGACTGTCCAGGTGCCTGGAGAGCAGCAGGGAGTCCGAGAGACACGGATGCTGAGGCCACTTGGGTGCACAGTTGAGACTGAGCAGGCTCCCCACTCCACGAAATTGCCTGTGACCTGAGGCAGGGCACTTCCAACAAGGCTGGACAGGATACAGGCTCCCCTAAAGTCACACTGGCTCCCCCTGCCTGCCCTCCTCGGACTTCCAGCCCAGCAGGGAGAGCAGCTGAAGAATAGAGAAGTCAGGGATGTGTCATGCTGGGGACTCTTTGTAAGAGGGTGCAGCTGGCTTGGGGCAGGGGTACCAGGGAGATCTTTTCCATGGCGCAGTGGACAGGTCCAGGGTGGGTGGTATGATGGGGAGTTGAGGTGGGATGGGAGGTGGGAAATCACAGCCCCGCCTTCTGTACCCACAGCCCAAAACGTGACCGTGGACGAGGTCATCGGTGCCTACAAGCAGGCTTGTCAGAAGCTGAACTGCAGGCAGATTCCTAAGCTCCTCCGGCAGCTCCAGGTAGCTCCACTCCCCAGCCTGGCCCCCCAGACAGGGTGATGGTCGGTGTCTGAGCGCACCTGTTACAGACAGTGCAGCATGCAAATCCTTCCCATGGTGGCCCCTATAGTCAGGGTCTTCATTAATGTCGCATGGACTCCAACTTCTATGAGGACAATGGAGAACTGTCCCACAGGGTTTCCAAGGATGTCAGACTTTATGGACTGGCTTATTTTTCTCCCACGGAACGGCTGGTGGTTCAGTGGGTTTGAAGTGCTGACCTTTTGTAAACAGCTGAGGCTTTCTACTCCCGTAAAGATTTACACCCTCGGAAACCCTGTACAGGGTCGCTATGGGTCGGACCCGACTCGATGGCACTTCACAACAAGCATTACATAATCTATAAAGTCAGAAACTCAGATGGTCTCTAATCACAGGGGGAAAACCCCCTGTCTATGGGAAATAGACTATTTGTGCTTAGAATTCTTCATTACAAAAATAGTATACATTCACATTTTCAAAAAGTAAAAGCCACTTTTCCTCTCCTGCCCCTGAACCCTAGCTTCTACAAGTCCTCTCAGAGCAGGTTGTCTCATCTCCAGAGGGGCCCTGACCCAGGGTCCTTGTCCACTTTTATCCAAATAGGGTCTTGTCACACTTGCAGCATACTTGTCCCCCACACTGCCTTAGTGCCTTCCTCTCTGTAGGATTTGTTCCAGAATATTCCAAGGTTGCTCCTTCCCAGGGTCATTCTTCCCTCAGCACCTGAGTGACACAGAGCACTTGCTCTAGGCCTGACCATACCTTTCTGTAAGGGATTCCAAAAGGGGCGTTGCCAGATCTAGGAGAAGACCCTTATTGTGGCAGCCAGGGGTAGGGGCCCAGGAGCAAACCAGGCGTGGGCCCTCTCTTCTTCATTTGTCACCGGGTTCATTGCAGCACCCGCCCTGGCCTTCATGTATAAGAATTACAGAGGCTGGACCTGGAAGGGGGCTGGGTGCGCCCAGAGGTACGAGTGGCTGGAAGGTGTCTGTGACCAGGACTCTGAGCAGGCCTGACACACGCTGCTCCACACCCACTCTCTTGAGGCCCTGCATCCTGGGGCCTAGCCAGTAGAATTGCCTCTCAACCTTGATCCAGGCCCCTATGGTCACCCCCCAAAATACAACTTAACCTCAGAAGTAGTAGAGAGCCAGGATGGGCGGTCAGGCCACTGGGGGATCTGCCTGCCTTCACCACTGTCCACTCTTGTCCCTCAGGAGTTCTCGGACCTTGGGCACCGTATCGACTGTCTGGACCTGAAAGGTATGTGTCTGGCCGGTGCTGGGCCCTGGGTGGGGGACCTCAGCAAGGTGCAGCAAGCCCAGGACAACTGATGGGAGCCAGACTCACGCAGGCATGCAGGCGAGGGCCCTGGCTCGGTGCCCCAGACTGCAGAGGCAGGGGCTAGGGGCTGCTCTGTCTCATCCAGGTGAGAGGCTTGACTACAAGGCCTGCGAGGCCCTGGAGGAGGTCTTCAAGAGGCTGCAGTTCAAGGTCGTGGACCTGGAGCAGACAAGCCTGGATGAAGATGTGAGTCCGCCCACTCCCTGAACCTCCTGACCCCTGGAGGCTTGGGGGGGGAGTATTTGCAGGAGGAAAGGATCCTCTTGGACAGAGTTTGGGGATGGAACAGAGGCAGGGCCTCTTAAAGGTCACGATACCAGAGTGGATGGAGGAGACCCCAAAGGCCAGAAAGGGGAAGCATGTGCAAAGAGGGGAGAGATGCAGAGAGCCCATCCTGGGGACAGCAGCGCCTGTAGGGGGAGCTAAAGAGATCCTCTGGGAGCAGCCTCCTCAGGCTTTGAGGCCCCCAGGATCCCTGGGTTAGAAGGGAGCAGACGGCCCAGTGGGAGGACCCAAAGGCCCAGGGACAGTAGTAACCTGGTCTGGTCACATACATAGCACATCTGCCCGGACCACTCTGAATGGCAGGTGACAGAAAATAGGCATCAACAAAGGAGTCCAGGAGGCCAGGGGCTGTGGGTGCAGCTGGCTCTGGCTCTGGCCTTTCCACTTCACCTCCAGGGGAAGGTGCCTCGTCTGCATTCACCCCCCCCCCCCCCCAGGACCCTGTATGTGCTCACTGAGCTCCCTCAGGACAAACTTCAGAGGAGGCTGAGCCCCCCTCTTGTATGCCCACAGGGTGCATCAGCCCTTTTTGACATGATCGAGTACTACGAGTCAGCCACCCACCTCAACATCTCCTTCAACAAGCACATCGGCACTCGCGGCTGGCAGGCTGCTGCCCACATGATGCGAAAGGTGGAGCTGCTATCCCCGGGTACCCAGACCTGAGGTCCCATCACATGAGCCTTGGGGCATTGGCTCTCAGGACTCTGAGTCCCAGCTTCTGGGCTAGTGGGAAGCAGTGGGTTTGGGGAGAGAGCTGTTTTCTCCTCCTTACTCCTGTGGCAAGAAGAGGTGTCCTGTCCCCTCGAGCCTCCCTCAGCCCCCTCTTTTTGTAAGCATCTGTTCCCTTCCCCTTCACTGACAGAGGTGCCTGGTCTAAGACAGAATGGGACAATCCACCCCTAGGACCCCCACCAATGTCCCCAGAATCAAACTAGAGGACCCCTGTCATCCTGCTGACCTCTGGGGTGCAAGGGGGCCTGACTCAGCCTCTCCCCTCCTCCTGCCCCCCAGACCAGCTGCCTTCAGTACCTGGATGCCCGCAACACGCCCCTACTGGACCACTCGGCACCGTTTGTGGCCCGCGCCCTGCGCATCCGTAGCAGCCTGGCTGTGCTGCACCTAGAAAATGCCAGCCTATCAGGGCGGCCCCTCATGCTGCTCGGTGAGCGTGGGTGGCTGGCTGGGCGAATGTGTGCGTGTCTGTATGTTGTGTGGCCCCTTGGACAGGACCTCCAGGGAATGACCGAGTGACTTGCCCATCACTGTGCCTCCCTCCACCCCTGGCAGCCACCGCTCTGAAGATGAACATGAACCTACGGGAGCTGTACCTGGCCGACAACAAGCTGAATGGCCTGCAGGACTCGGCCCAGTTGGGCAACCTGCTCAAGTTCAACTGCTCCCTGCAGATCTTGGACCTGCGCAACAACCACGTGCTGGACTCAGGTGGCTGGGCAGTGCTGGGGGCACAGTGAAGACCCCATCCAGCTCCCTAGGGCTCACAGTCTAGTGGGAGAGACAGCAATCAGGACTGGGGCTACAGGAACTCTCCAGGTTCCCAGCCAGGGATCTGGGGGGCCTGAGCAAGGCCACATACCACCCTTGCTGGGCCCAGTCAATCCCACACCCGTGTCCTCTGGAGACGCTCCCAATTGGACCTGGGGAAGCCTGTGGACCTCGCAGGGCCTCATCAGCATTGTCTCCCCAGGTTTGGCCTACATCTGTGAGGGCCTCAAGGAGCAGAGGAAGGGGCTGCTGACCCTGGTGCTGTGGAACAACCAGCTCACACACACAGGCATGGCCTTCCTGGGTATGACCCTGGTGAGTGCTGGGAGCTGGCAGGTGGGCCACACCCCTTCACCCCCCCGCCCTTCTGTACGTCCTGGGACCCTCTGCACTTACCAGCACTGTGCTTGGCATTCAGCTTCTCCACCATGCTTCTCTTCAAGAGACTGGCCTGCCTTTTGTTGTTTGCTTGTGATGTATATGAAGGTTTACAGTGCAGTTAGAGTTCCGATCCAGCAGTTTCTCACAAGGTGTTCAGTGATACCAGTGTGGGGACGGTCCTGTTCTCCTCACTTCTGTCCTGGGGCTTCTGTTTCCATTCATCTCCTTTGCCTGCCTCCTTCTCATCTTTGTTTTACTTACTGACAGTTTGCTTTCAAACAAGGGATTTTGTACAGACCCACAGGGTCGCTATGGGTCGGAACCGACTCGACGGCACTTAACAACAACAACAATAGTACTGATGGGTGATAGTCATCATTTTTTGAGCCAACCTGTTACCCTCAGGGAGGGGTTCAGTTCGAGGATTAAGTTTCTCCGGGCAATAGTCTCAGAGGGTCCTCAAATCTCAACCTGTCCAGTAAGTTTGGTGTTTTTTGGAATATAGTCCTGGTGTGGCACTATAGGATAAGCACTGAACTGGCAACTGCAAGGTAGGCAGTCCAAACCCACCAGCTAGTCTTTGGAAACAGTTTCTGTGAGTTGGAACCAATCCCATGGCACTATGACAACAAGCAACTACTTTTCTGTGTTTTTTGCATCCAGTGTGATAGGCTAATTAATAATGGTGTTTTTAGAAGCCTGCAGGGACTTGTAAATCTAATGTTCTGTGTTGTATGTGTAGCAAGCCAGTGGCGCTTCCAGGGTACACCCACAGTTGGTATCCAGATGAAGACTTGGTATGGGACATATGGGGGTACCAGGTGCAGCTTTACAGGCCAGGCAGCGGGAGGGCCCAGAGCTGTGGGTCAGGGATTTCAGAGCACACCCCAGGATTGGGAGCTTTGTAGGCCTGCAGTAGGGCAGGAACCCCAGCATTCCAGACTCGGGCCGGCTGAGGAAGAAAATCAAAAGTTTGCCTCTTGTTCTGACGCTTTTCATCTTCTTCTTGTGGGCCTTTCCTCCACACTCGGGGTCCCTCACTGTCTCCCATTCTGCCCTCCCACTACCAGCCACACACTCAGAGTTTGGAGACGCTGAACCTGGGCCACAACCCCATTGGGAACGAGGGTGTACGAAACCTCAAGAATGGGCTTATCAGCAACCGCAGCGTGCTGCGTCTCGGCCTGGCCTCCACCAAGCTCACGTGTGAAGGTGAGGGGGCGGTGGGGGGGGGATTGGGAGGCAGGCTGGAGGGGATGGCCGACTGGGCATGGGGCCCATGGCCAGCCCTGCGGTCCCCCTCCCAGGCGCGGTGGCTGTGGCGGAGTTCATCGCCGAGAGCCCCCGCCTCCTCAGACTGGACCTTCGGGAGAACGAGATCAAGACGGGCGGGCTCATGGCGCTGTCCTTGGCCCTCAAGGTAAACCACTCCCTGCTGCGCTTGGACCTCGACCGCGAGCCCAAGAAGGAGGCGGTGAGTGGGCTCCCCTGGGGGCTGGGGGCTGCGGGAAGACCATCAAGACCCCTACTAGCCAGGCCCTCCCGCCCCCAGGTGAAGAGCTTCATTGAGACGCAGAAGGCCCTGCTGGCCGAGATCCAGAACTGCTGTAAGCGTAACTTTGTGCTGGCGCGGGAGCGAGAGGAGAAGGAGCAGAGACTGCAGCTGTCGGCCTCCATGCCCGAGATCACCGTCACTGAGCCCCAGCCTGAGCAGGAGCCGGGCGACGAGCCTGCCAGCCCGGGGGAGGAGGCCGCCACTGAGGCGCAGGAGAATGGGGCCCCGGAGCCTGGACCCCAGCTGGACTCAGACTCAGACTCTGAGGACGGGGAGCCGGAGGAGGCTGCCGGCGACCAGAGCCCCTCCGCCCCCTGCCCTGTCCTGGTGCCCCCCACGGACTCTCTGGGTCCTGGGGACAGGACCCCCTCAGGCAGCCCCTCCTCCCCCACGGAGCAGCGCATCTCCGTGTCCAGCCCGGGCCGGGGCCACAAGGTGTTTGTGGTGACCCGGGTAGAGAGTCCACCTGAGAGGGCAGAGCCCCCCGCCCCCTCCACACCCCTCTCCCCTGCCAGCCCCCCCTCTCCACCTGCTGCTCCCACCCCACCACCAGCTGAGGCCATCAGCAGCCAGGACCCAGGGGCGTCTGAGCCTCCACCACAGCCAGGGTCACCACTAGGGCCGCTGCTGCCCAACGGCCTCAAGCTGGAGTTTGCCCTCACTCTGCCCCCGGAGCTGCCCCCGGGGCCTGAGACCAAGGGGGGCAGCTGTGGCCTGGAGCATGGTGAGAGGGGCTCCTGGGGCAGGGCGAGGAGGGGATCCAGGTGGGGGGTCTGCCTGGATGGGACAGTGCTTCCATCCCCACAACTGGAGCTACCCCCCCAGTCCCCAACAGAACTGAGCCCCCCCTCTCCCCAACAGAACTGAGCCCCCCTCTCCCCACACAGAGCTGAGCCCCCCTCTCCCCACACAGAGCTGAACCCCCCTCTCCCCACACAGAGCTGAGCTGTTCTAAGAACGAGAAGGAGCTGGAGGAGCTGCTTCTGGAAGCCAGTCAGGAATCTGGTCAGGAGACACTGTGACACCATCCCCACAACTGGAGCTACCCCCCCAGTCCCCAACAGAACTGAGCCCCCCTCTCCCTCACAGAGCTGAGCCCCCCTCTCCCCACACAGAGCTGAGCCCCCCTCTCCCCACACAGAGCTGAGCCCCCCTCTCCCCACACAGAGCTGAGCTGTTCTAAGAACGAGAAGGAGCTGGAGGAGCTGCTTCTGGAAGCCAGTCAGGAATCTGGTCAGGAGACACTGTGACACTTTAGGTGAGGGGAGGGTCTGGGTGTCCCCAAGTGGACTCTCCCCACTCTCCACTCTGGCCCTGACCTTTCTTCCTCATCTCTTCTGAAGTACCTTTTTCCGGTCGGTCTTCGAGAAGCTGAGGCCCGAGCCATGAGAACCTGCTCACCCTCACCCCAGCCTTCCTGAGGCCCAGGACGCCAGGGATGGGAGGCTGTCCCAAGGGCCGCTCCCCCACAGCCACACTCCAGGGTGCAGGAGTTACAAGGAGCGGCCCCTACTGAAGCACTTCTATTTATGTGTCCAGCCGCCCAGCCCTGGGAGGAGGAGGAGCAACCCGGGCCGGGCTCCAGTCCTGTCCGGAGGCCTGTCCCGCCCAGTGCCCTCCTTGGTGGTGGGACCGCTCGGCTCTGGCCCCGGCCCCGGCGCCGGCCCCAGAGGATGGTGGCGGTGGTGGTGGAGTTGGGTGGCACAGCCTGGCCGGGGGGCGGGCTGGTGGGCAGACGGGCGGGCGGGGGCATTGCCGAGGAGCAGAGCTTGGTTTCTTCAGTGCAATAAATCTATCAGGGAGCTGGGGCAAGGCCCCTGGAGGCTGTGCCCCGAGAAGCACTACAAGGGGGAGGGCAAGGGGGGGACTGCTCCTGCTGGTCCAACTCTGTTCACATCTTTTCTAATAAACCAGAGCTGGGTTCACCGTCCTCCTGCTTGCCTGCTGATTCAACCCAGCAATGATCCCCAGAAGAAAATGACCACACACCCCTGGCCAGGCTCCATGCATCATTTCCTCAAGGGAAAGCGCCCCAAGTATTTTCCTGTCCCAGGTCTAGGCTCTCAGTCACAGATACAACTTGACGTGGTAACAATTGGCATTCAGGCAGACAGATGGCTTGATCCCCCAGTGGGGAGCCCATGGCATCCGCCTGCCCCCGTTCCAACCTGTGCCTACGATGCTCTGGGTAACTGAAGCAGAAGATGGCCCACAGGAGGGGCAAGGCCTTTGCTGCCCACCTTCAGCCCCTGTGATAAACATCTGTTCTGTTTAGGCCATTGTAGTCGCTCCTGTCACTTGCTGCTCCATGTCTTCAAGCTCTGCAGGACTCCTTTTAGGAGTAGCCTGCAGTGGGGCTGTGGGGGTGGCAGCAGCATGTGAGGCTTAAGTAGGAGGAAGCCGTGAAAACTGCCATGAGTTTGCCCAAGGCGCTGAGAAGCCGCAGTCCAGTGCCAGGTTGGGCTCTCCGTACCTATCAGGAACCTAAACCTCAGTGGGGCTTCCAGCCCTCAGCAGCAAAGGGAATTCAGTCTACCTGCCCCTTGTGTGGTACCTAGACTTCTCAGCTCCCAGTCCTGTTACTAGTCATGTCCTGCTCTTGTTGATGCAATGTACAGGGGACTCTGCATTACAGCTTTTCTAGGAGCAGCTGACTTCCTGGGGTCTTGGGTTTGGGGCTAGAGCAACCCTTGCCCTGTTTGTATTTGCTTTCTGCAAGGTGTAGCGCTGTGGGTTAATGTACTGGACTGCAAAGGCTATTTGAACCACAAAGTCACAGGTTCAAACTCACCAGCTGCTCCTTGGAAACCCTATACAGGGTCACTGTGGGTCAGAACTGACTCAATGACACTCAACAAGAGCCTTCAGTCACAGGTATCCTTGGGTAGCACAATCAGTTAAGCACTGAACTACAGGTCAGCAGTTCAGACCTACCAAGCGCCACCTCAGAAGAAAGACCTGGTAATCATCTAAAAGGGTCACCACTTTGAAAATCCTGTGGAGGGAAAGTCTACCAACCTACTTGGAGACAGCATGACCGTTGAAATCAACCCCACTGCATGTGGCCTCCCACCAACCAGCTATATGGCCCTGGGTGTATTGTGTGTTGGTAGCGTATGCAGAAGACACAGCCTGCTGCTAAACTGGGTGTCATGGGGGCGGGGGGGGCACCACATTTCTACCCTGTTACGACAGCAACAGCCCAGGACCCTCATCTCGATGGGAGAGCTCCACACTGCAGATGTGGCATCTGGGCCACACCAGGCATTCTCACATGCTGGCTTTATTTCTTTCCAGGGCTTACAAAGTCCCCAAAAACTTTCTCATGGGCAGCAATCTGACTACTGCTTGATTCCACCTCCTGTTGGCCACCCCCTTCTCACTGGGGACTCCTCAGTCTGGTTCCCAGTTTCCAGCCAAGTCCACATTTCAGTGTCTATCTCATGCAGCACCCCATTCCTGGTACCAATCTGTGTTTCACCTGGATTCTAGCTGATAAAAGGGAGACTTAGTTCCTCTAGCTCTAGCTCCAGGGAAGGGAGGTCCATCGGCTCCAGTAGCCCAGCCACAGATAACACTGCCCATGTCTGAGGATGTCACCCAGCAGGCTTGGCTTATCCCACCAACTGAGCCATGATGTCCTTGTTAGGTGCCAACTCACAGAGCCCATGCACAATAAAACCAACACTTCCTGGTTTCACACCATCCTCACACTCGCTTGAGCCCATTGTTGGAGCCATTGGGCCAGTCCATCTCATTGAGGACCTTGTCTTCCAGGGACTGAAAAAAACAGCACTTCTGTCCCCACAGCTTCTATGACAATGAATGATAGGGCTAGCTGGCTGTGCACTATGTGCACTGTGGCCCAGGAAGCTGGGACTAAGGAATACAAGGCCTGAAGGGGGGCACCTTAGTACACAAACCTTGGATCCCCATGGGACTGTCCCTACTGCCCTGGCTCTGAAGTCACGCCCTCACCTTCTTTCTAGTCGCATGTTATGTTCAGCATTGGTAGCCTTCCCCACCAAAAAAATTATAGGTCCAGACACTGAATAATGAAGAAGCATTCTGATAGACACCATGAGTGTCATTGACAACTCCATGGTCACCCTCCTGTCTGGCTCTTGTGTCCTGCAAGTTCTCCCATCTCTGCCCCTCAACATCCCTATCCTCAGTTCCCGTCTAAGGGCTGACAACAACCCGTGGCCCTTGGGGGCGGTAAGGCAGGCCAGGACAGTTATTTCTGTGGGGGAGGTCAGGCCACACACACACCCCACTGATTGAGGTGCCAGTGAGGCCTAATTATACCAGTAGGGTGAGGGTGGGGCAGCCTGCTGAGGTCACCGGGGACACTACCCTTGGAAATGCCAGAGCTCTGCCTGCCCATGGAGGGACTGGCTAGGGTGTGGGGACAACGACCTAGATTCCCTGAGGCCTGGGTGATCTCTATCACCTGAGTCAACCCAGCCTCCTCTGTCCCCTGCCTCTGTAACCTCGCCCACCACCCCCGCAGCTCCCCATTCACCAGGGATGCCTGTGACGAGGCTACCTGCCTGCAGCTTCTCAGGTGGGACCAAACAGGGCAGTCCTATTCTAGTCTCATTAAACGGGCCAATACCAAAGCATACAGACCAGCCCGGGCTTTGCACAACTTCATTTATTGCACTTGAACCCTTAGTTTCTCACTAGTCCTGAACTTGGTCTCGGACACTGCCCACGGCTCTGTAGGGAATGTGGCGGTCACATTCTGGACTCCTTACAGTGGACCCTGATCCTTGCACCATCTTGGGTCCCCTTTGGCCTCATCTGGGCTGACAGGAGATGCTGCCCCTGGTGCTTGGAGCCCTTCATTCAAAATCATTGGAGCTGGGTTCCCCGGAAGGTAGAGTGCTTAGGCTAGGGGTCTAGACTTGCCCCCTTTGGCACAGTCCTGGGGTGAGCGGGTGTTGCTGGCATGCCCAGAGGCGTGTCCTGCGTTGTGTCCAGGTGGGGGTGATGCGGAGGTATGATTAGCTCTGTTGGTATGGCCTGACGGGGGCACCCCAGCAGCGGTGGTGGCTCTGTTGGCGGCTCCGTTGGTGGCGTGGGCAGTATCCCGTGCAGGAGACCTGGGCGGGCTGGGAGGCTTCAGTGTCCTAACAGCCCGAATGAGGCCCATGCGGCGGCGAATAGAGTGGTCCAGGTTGACCGTGCATCGCAGCAGGCTCTGTGCCTCGGCTACCGTAAAGGGGAAGTCGGCGCCTAGGAAGCGCTCGAAGAGCTCCGGGTCGCCATCCAGGTCGAGCACATTCTGCAACTCTTTGGTCATGGTGTGCAGCTCGCGGCTGTTGTCGCAGAACACGTCCCAGAGGCGCGCGCGTCCCTCGGGGGCGCCCCCAACCTGCTGCCTGTCCTCCAAACACTGAAGCACCCAACTGAGGCGACATGGCCACTGGTTAGCTAGCACGACCCAAGCTACGGCCTGGCGCGGCGTGGGCCCCCCAAAGTCGCCCTGCAGCTGCTGCTGCTGTAGCAGGCGCACGGTAATGGGCACGGTGTTGACGATGCGCCGCATGGACACCACGTTGTCGGGCACAAACTCGTAAAGGCAGTCGCGCTCGTCGTGCAGGCACAAGAGCGCCTCCTGAATACGGCGCGCCGCCTCGGCATCAATGCGGCTCTGGGCGCGCTCAGCGCCCGCTTGCATCTCAACAGCCAACAGCTGCGCGCCCTCGGCGCCATCCACACCGCTCTGGGCCGCGCCAGGCAGCCGCAGCTTGCGCGTAATCTCGCGATAGAGTAGGTCATCGCGGCTTTGCACAGCGTCGTGCAGAAACTGCAGCTTAGTGCGGCGGCCCATGATGGGTACCGAGAAGGGCAGTGTGACCGTGCGGTTGAGGAAGAGGTAGCCATTGTCAGCCGTGCCCTTCATGTTCCCCGCGTTCTCCAGGCAGGCGGCCAGGATGCTGGGGTCCACCACCAAGATGAAGATGAAGGGCGCGTGGCTGTCGGACAACAGTGTGTTGATGGCGTTGAGTACGCCCACCACGCGCTCGGGGTAGCACGTGTCCAGCCCGGTGACCTCGAGGACGACGCGCAGTCGGCGCCGCTGGTAGATCTCCAGGAAGCACAGGAAGTCGGTGAGCAGCTCCACCTCCTTCTTCACCTCGCACATGAAGCCCAGCTGACTGCCGAACTTCTCGCGCGACACCAGCCGCTCGATCTTCTTGCGCTGGCTCACGAACAGATGCTTGCCCACCGAGTACACGGCCATGAGCAGCCCCGAGCCCGACAACGTGGTGGCTGCGCCACCAAACACTTTGAGCAAGCTGCCACTGGCGCCTGCGTGACCCGGCGCGTGGCCGCCCAGGGACAGGTAGAGTAGGCCCACGCCCAGGCAGAGCGCCGCCAGCAGCGCCACCAACGCCAGGCACACACGGCGCCGGCAGTGCCACTCGCGCTGGCAGAAGTCCGGCGATGTGGCCGGCTTATTGCCCAGCACCGAGTACACGCTGAAGGGCAGCGCGCCGTAGTGATGGCGGATGCCCTCGCACAGCGTTGTCACCAGGCCGGCCCACAGCTTGTCGGTGCCCGCATACTGCCAGGCGCTGAAGCGGATGAAGAGGAACTGCACGTTCTTGCGCCGCAGGTGCACCTCGGTGATGAGGGGCTGCAGGAATACCAGGTACCATAGCAGCTGCGGGAAGCCCCAACCACTCACCTGCCGTGGCCGCCAGCGCACGCGCTGCAGCTCCTCGAACTCGCGCTGCGTCGCCTCCTGCTGCATCAGCGCTGTGGGGAGGAGGGGCGAGAGACGTGTGAGTGGAAGGGAAGGGGCCCTCAGGAGCCTGGGAGCTGGACTGGAGGCGAGTTTCACCTCCTGACTTGGACCTCAGGGGGCCAGGGGTGGGCAGAAGTAGAGCCCCCCCTCCCCCCCAAGAGAAGAGAGGTCAAGGAAGGAGAATGAGGGAGACCCAAGGCGGAGCTAGGGGCGGGGGGGGGGGGGGGGGCGGGAGGCGGGCCGGGAAGTCTGGAGAGGAGATGGGAAGGCTCTAAGAGAGGGGGACTCAAAGGTTCCAAGGGTCAAAGAGTAAATGAGATGAGGAAGCAGGGAAACGTTAAGCAGCCTGGGGAAAGCCTGGGTGAGGAACCTGGACTTTCTCCCTAGGGCATGGGGAGCCAATGAGGACTTTTGAGCAAGGGAGGAGCTGAGCAAGATGTGTATTTCAAAAAAATTCCTTGGAGTCAGTTGGCAAAAGACAGGTTGGAGGGGAGAAAGCAGGGGCCTGGGGCAAGGGGAGTCAGTGCTGAGATGGGGTGGCAAGGCTGGGGGCAAGCGGGTCAGGGGCCTGGCTTCCCACCCCTCCCCCAAGATTCTCACAGGTGATCTTGTCTAGCATCATGTGCAGGCGGCAGCCGAAGGGGGCATAGAAACCCACAGTCACAGGGACAGGCACGTGGCACAGGGTCTTGGCCAAGCAGCTGCAGTAGACGTCATCCTCTGTCATAATGTCTGGGGGCCGGAGTGGGGGTTGGGGAGGGGAAACCGAGTCAGTGAAGCTGACCCGCCACCACCTTCCTCCCCATCTGCCCTCTGCAGCGCCCACTTTCAGCCCTTCCCTACACCATCAGCACCCTGTGCCCTGACTTGTTGAGGTGATTTGAGCCAAACCCTCAGATGAGGGCTTTCTGTGGTCAGGTCTGCTCCTTGGGGCTCCACAGAGGTCTTCCAGTCAGAGGCAGGGGGGCTGGACTCCCCTAGCCTGGCTCAGAGGCCTGTGGGAATTTGGTTGCCCTGGCCCTTGTCCATCAAGCTTGACCAGCAGCCTAGCTTGGCCACAAGTTCCTAGGCATCACATTCCAGCTCATAAAGTGCTCACTGTCAGCTCCTGCTTCCTCTCCTGGCTCAGGCATGGATGTGACCCGAGGACCCCAGGCTCCTCTCTGCTTCGAATCCGCACCTCACCCCACCCTCGTACAGTGACCCACAATTGTCTTCTCTCCCATCCCATAATTTCAATTCATCCATCTGCCCTGAGCCTATGCCTGGACAGTCCCACATCCGAGTCTTGGCCACTTTTTTTCTGTATATCCTGGCAAAAGGGACCGCCTCTGTCCCTGCCCCCCAGGACTGGGACAGAGAGGCTGGGGATCCAAAAAGCCCACTGCCAGTGATGTGATTCTGACTCACAGCGACTCCATAGGACAGCATAGAATTGCCCCATGGAGTTTCCAAGATGGTACATCTTTACAGAAGTAACTACTGCATCTTTCTCCAGAGGACTGTGGCTAGCAGCCCGATGCTAACCAAAAGCCCTCAGTGAATGCCTCAATCTTGGATGGCTATGAAGGGTGCAGATCCTGGTTGGTGTCCTGGCTCTATGGGGCTTTCACAGAAGCCTGGTGTACTGGGGCATTCCCCAAAGAGGTAAGGTACCAGGCCCAAAGGCTCTGCAGGATGGCAGGAGGAAGACAAGGACAGGGTGGATCTGAGCCTGTGCTTCCCTGTTTGTGCAATGGGCATCGTGACCAAGAGGATCCAGAAAAATGACATGGACATGTCCTGGGAGCCTGACCCAACCCTGATCTGAGTTCCTGCTCAGCCATTGTTCTCCTTTCAAAACAGGCCTAGAGACAGACGAGCCTGGTGGCAGCCACCACCTCAGCTTGCCATTCTTCCTAATTCTGCACGTTGTCAGTCACTGTCTCACTGAGTGGGGCTTCCACCCTCACTTTCAACTGTCCCCTCTCCTGTTAGATCCACAGGCAACTGGTGCTCCTCTTGGGTCCCAGCCTCCCAAGGCTGCCCCCTTCGCTCAGGGTTACAGTCACATCCTTGCCCTGGATGACTGCCGCCTAATGCCCTCTCTGGTCTCACTGTGTCCCCTGAAGCCACACTGATCTTCTGGGCTGCCCCATACACACCATGCCTGCTCCCCCAGTCTGTGTTTGCTGACCACACTGCCCAGAAGAGACTCCAGAGAGTGGCCTGGATCCTATTCAGATGTCTCCTTAGGACTTCGCATGGAATGAATGAGTAGATGGGGGAGTGAGTGAGAAAATGAATGAGGGGATGAATGAAAGGGTAAATGAATGAGTGAGTGAGAGAACTAATGACTGAGCGGATAAATTAATAAAGAGAATGGATGAGTTCATGAATGAATGGAGCTTGCAAATGAATGAGTGGATGAATGAATGGGTACATGAATGAATGAGTGAAGGAATTAGTGAATGAATGGGTGTATGAGAGAAGGAATGAATGATGAATGAATGTGTGAGAGTGAATGAGTGTGACTATAAAAGCCTTACACGAGTGGATGAATGAATGGACTTCAACCATACTGCTTCCCCACTCACTCCCTACCTCTTGCTGCCGCTCCATACTTGCCCTGGGTCCCCTCACCAGAGCTGCCCAACAAGCTGGCATTGGCACCCTATCCCATGTGCCCCTGTTGCCTGCCAGGCTAGGGGGAGGCAGGGCTGTGAAGAGAGAGCAGAGCAGAAAGAGGCCTTCACCACGCTCAGGCAGTCCTTCAGGGCCAGCAGCAGACTGGGCCCGGAAGCCTTAGATCCCACAGCTGAGGCAGAGGCGAGGGTGACCAGGACCAGGACGGAGTGCTACCCTGAGAGCCAGGGCCAGGGGCCTGAGCGCACGCCTAGGAGGGCAGACCTAAGGCACTAGCCACGGAGCAAGAGGCCCAGATACGCAGCAAGGTGGCAGAGCTGGGGACTGAGCCTCCTTAGGGCCTGGGTTAGCACCGGAGCTGTAGGAGGTGAAGGGGCCGCAGGCTGCTGGGGCAGGCAGGGGCCGGGCTTCTGTGGGCTGGCTGGGCTCCAGGAGAATGCCGGCTGCTGCGGGTGGGGCTGGGCCGCTGCTGACCATGGCGGGTGCGCTGGTAGGTGAGGTGGTGGGTGAAGTGATGGGCGCGGGGGGCGGCTGGGGGACGCTGGCGGCTGCAGGCAGTCCCCTCCGGGCCCCATGGATGGGGCAGAGCCGCTGCCGCAGGGGGCTGGGGGGTGAGGGCTGCGGCTGCTGCGGGACAAGGGGCCGGGGCCACCAACGCCAGCCACCGTTGCCCCCCCGTGGGCCATGGTAAGCCAGCTGCCAGCGGGCCTGGGGGGTCAACTGACTGGGCCTGTGGGCTTGAGGGGCTGCTGAGTCATGGTGCCATTGGTGACGGGATCCTGAAAGGAAGGAAGTGTGATGACTGGGCCTGGGTCCCTGAGAGGGGTAGAGAGGCACACTGGCATGAACCAGTCTTCAGATGGAGCATGTTGAGGGCACCTGAGGCCCAGAAGGATCCGGATGGCAAGTAAGGAGAGAGGAAATAGGTCAAGGGGAGCCGTGCCATCCCAGGGGTGGTGGGATGGGGTATCAGGAGAGAAGAGGTGAAGGGGCATCAGCTCCTACTCCCCTAGATTCCGGTGCCTATAGGGGGCCCCCAAGGAGGCACTCAGAGGAGTCCATGGTGAGCTGGCCATTTAGAGGGAACAGGCCAGGTGCAAAGAAGGGATGGGTGGACCTACACCCAGGCCAGGCCAGCAAGGAGGTTGCTGGCCTGGGATGTGTAAGTCCCAGGTCCGAGGGAGGAGGCTGAATCAGCTATAATGGGTGATAATTGCCCCCCTCCCCATACCCCTCCCAACCTGGGCAGGCCAAGTTGCAGCTGCACTGGAAGCTGACCCCTACTCATTCCTGTGCACATAGGGCTAAGGGCACCTCCAGATGTTCCCACTAGGTGGAAGCTTAGGGATGAGGGGGACTTCCCACACTGGGGAAAGGAGAAGGCCAAGGGGTCCTCCCAGGACGGGCTCCCATCTTGGCCCCTTTAGGTCTTGGGGCTCCTCTCTAGGCCCCACTCTGTGGACACCCCTGGGGAGTGATAGTGACCTCTCTCCTGGGGCCTGAGGTGCCCATTTCATTCCACAGTTCCCACTCACAGGCCTCTTTCCTGCTCTGACCACCCCCCCACAACTGAACCCCTACCTCTCTGGTACCCCAACTCCGGGTCCATGAAGTAGCCCTCAGCCGGGACACGGGGAGGCAGGGCACCCTTGGCAAAATGGACCTGGTATTGCTGCATGGTGGTGACTCTGGGCTTCAGGAGATCCTGGTGGGGGGGGGGGGCAGGTGGAAAAGGGAGGGGATGGCTCAGCAGGAGACAGCAGTGGTGATGGAGATGGGTCCCTGCCCCACTCCCAGGACAGTTCTGTGTGCCCTTGCCCTTGGGCAGGTGAGAAATCCCATCACCCCAACATCCTGAAACACTTTAGGGGGATGTCAGATGCTGTTTGGAGTTTGAGGACCCAAAGAGGAGGGGGAGGGGCTAGGAAGCCAATTTAGCGGGTGGGTGAGTTTCCCTTGGGCTGGGTGTTTGGGCGCCCCTAGGGGAAGAGGGTTGAGCAGCTCTGGTTTGGGAATGGGTGTGCTAGCAAAATTAAAGAAAAGCCCTCTGGACTTTTCATCTCCTTAGCTATAAAATGAGGTTAACCTGTGTGTGCAGGAGCCCTGGTAAGTCGTTCAAATCTACCAGCTGCTCCTTGGCAGAAAGATGTTCTGGCAAAGACTTAAAGCCTCCGAAACCCTACACAGGGTTGCTATGAGTTGGAACCTACTCTACTCCTCAGCACACCACTACCGCCAGTGTTGAGGGAGGAGCGCTGTGGGTGGCGGGAGGCCTGAAGCCTCTGTGGGCAAGAGTTAGGGAGCAGGCGAGCAACTGGGGATACCTGACATTCAGAACTGGGTTCATTTGGGGGTCTGGAGGGACGGAGGTGCCTGGAGAGGGAAGGGAATCAGGGCATCCGGTTTACGGGAAGGTTCAGCATAGGGTGTCCCGGGGTAGAGTTGAAGGAGAGAAAGATGCTGGCGGATGAGTGGGACAGTGGCCAGGACCTGGGAAGCCCAGGGTTTGGGCTCACTTTGGGTCAGATGTGCGGCTCCCACCCACTGCCTCCCCCAGCCCGGGGATCCCCCGTACCTGACGGCGGCCTCTCGGCCCCAGCTCCCTGTCCGGCGGCCAAGCTGCTTTACCAGCTCCTGTGACTTAAAGGCTGTGAGTCTCCGGAGCTGCCTGACCGGTTTGCCTGCCCCAGACCCGGCCCATCGCAGTGCCCGCCCACCTGTCCCTTGCTCTCGAGGACTTTGTACGGAGTACGGGATGGATGTGACATCGATCTCTCCCAGAGCCAGAGGTCTTAGTCCCTTCTGCCTGGGGACCAGGCAACAGAAAAACCTAGGGTTAGATACCACTTGTGCTCCGGCCCTGCTGGGTCATCTTAGGCAGGTGACTTCACCTCTCTGAGGCTCAACTTCCTCATTACTGAGTGGACCAGCGCCAGCACCTTCCTCTCATGGTTGTCAGGAGTCAGGGACAAGAGGCTAAGGTCAGAACTATGACAGCCACTAGCGGGTAGGCCCCACTGACCCACTTATTACTTGAAATGCCTGACAGAACATTCCTCCCCTGTACGTCTCCACATGCCACCCCTGCAAGGAGGCTGACCTGGGGCTGGCACTCGACAGCCCCTCCTTCATCCCACAGCCTTTTGAGGATGCTGTATGCCCATTCTGGAGATGTGGAGACTGAGACTCTGAGACCCAGAGTAGCTCACCCCAGGTCCAACAGGAGCAGAGTGGGGATTGGAAAGTGGGCAGTGACTTCGGCTCCCAGACTCTCTACAGATGTCTTCCTGAGAGGAGGGTCAGCAGGGACTGGACAAGGGGATGCTGGTAGTTGGTGGTCTACTGCCACTCAGGATTGGGTGAGGATGAGTGAATCAGAGATGGGATGGACGGGAACACCCTCCCCCGCTTCTAGAACCCACCTAGCCTGCAGCACATCCCCTGGGGTGACCTGTGAGACCAAATGCTGCCCCTATGGCTGAGTCAGCCCTCAGACTCCACTCTCACTTTCCGCATCCTTTCGGTCCTTTCTCCCCAAGGATGAACCACCAGGTCCACTAGGGCACCCCCACCTGGCAACGTTGAGTGTGGAGTGACCCACCATCATCTCTAAGGGCTACTGAAGGCAGAGTTCACCCCATGGGCTGAGGAGCTCCAAGTCACTAAAGAAACATACCTGAGCTTGAGAGCCAGGCCCTGGGCAGTACCAACACCAGGAGGAGGGACCCGGAGGAAGCCTGCAACTTAAAGAGGTCACCAGGACAGGACAGGACAGGAAGGTGTCTCCATGGAGACTGTTTAGGACTTAGGAGGAACACCAAGGACAAGTGACTAACTGCCTGGGAGTGTTGTTAGGGGTGCAGTGGCTGGGCTGCTGCTGGATGTGTAGGAGTCTGGGAGTAGGCCTGAGGGTTAAGCAGGTGCCAGGAAAAACAGCAGGTGCAAAGGGGCAGGAATGGCAACCACAGGGCTCGGCAGTCCGGCAACAGAGCAGACTGGGCGCAGGAGCTGGGACTCCACAGTGAGCCTGAGGAGACCCCCACTGGGAGTGTCCAAAGCAGGGGAGCCCTTCCTGATTTCATTTATGGTTCAGGGCCAGTACCAGCTTCTGTTCACGGCCTCAATGCCAGCAGGGCTACTGGTAGACTCATATCTACCAGTAAGTCTGGTAACGGTGTGTGTGTAGTGGCCTGGCCCCATCCTGTGTGCCCACCAGTTGGGTAGCCCCAGAGTTGTTGACGCGGCCAGGATGGCCATCCCCCCACCCCCATGGAACTTTTGATACAATAATGGTTTCACAGATGTGCGTGTCACACAATTAGAGTCCACATACCTTTATTGTACCCTCAGAGTAGCCTGTCCAAAGCCCAGTCCCTCCCCACTATCCCCACCTGTGACTGGGACCCCTGAGTGACACCCTAAATTCTTGTGAGTCCCCCTCCCCCGCACCTTGTGCTTCATTCACCCCAGAAGTCTGGAGATCTAGCACCAAGTCTGCGCTGCCCCCCACCAAAGGCTGCGATCCCTGGGCTCCAGGTGTTTGCTGTCTCCTGAGAGTTCATGGGAGGGGGGCAGTAGTGAGGCTTAGCTTGGGTGGGCTCCTCAGGCCCTCTGGATCACCACCTGGAACTTACCTGCAAGAGAAGGGCTGGCATGGGCCTGCAGCTGGGGCCTTACTGGTCAGAGGGAAGGTCCCTGCCCCATGGCCTGTATTAGGGCTCTATGGGTACAGGGGCCAGGCGTGTGGGGATGGCCCTCTGTACATGGGTTACTCACTCCAGCCCTGTGGCCCCCCCAGCGGCTGGGCCAGGAATCCTGAGAGAGGAACAGCTAATGGGGCGGGGTAGGGGCATTTCCCAGGACAGAGGATCTGGAAGCCCCAAGTGGCCGATAGGACTGAGGGGGTGAGGGGATTCCCTGCTAGCAAGCCAGCTTCAATGAGCGACACCTGAGGTCCCAGGCTGGGTGTTATCCAGGTGGCCCATCATGGACCCGCTCTCCTCCCAGTGGGAGCAAGGGGTGTGGGAGGCCCGGCACATGAACTAAGCTCTCTGGGCCTCCAGATCCTCACCTAGAGAGGAAGGCCCGTATATGGGGCAAGAAGACTCCCACTCCTACCCCTGCGAAGACTCACAAGCAGGCAAGGCTGCCACGGCGGCGGTGACCAAGCTCTTGATGCCCAGGGTGTTGAGGGTGCCTCGAAGGAGGCCGCAGGTGAAGGCCAGGAACTGGGGGGAGGGGGGGTCATGGTGGGAAGGGGGGAAGCCAGTGCCCAGGGCCGGGCCTCATTTGGCTGCGGGCTAGTGGGGTCCAGGCTTGGGTGAGGATGGGTAAGCACCCAAAGTGCTATCCCAGCACTGCCCCCCAATACCTTGGGTGCCTCCTCTAGATACTGCTGACCAGCGGCCATCCGGACAAGCAGGGGGAAATCGTTGTCCAGTATGATGTAGGTCCCCTGGGGGTAGAGGAATGGTGGCTTGGGCAGCTACACTTGGGGAGAAGGTGAAGAGCCAGACCAGCAGCCCCATCCTCCAGAGCTGGGGCTGGTGTCCCCCATCATGATGGCAAAGAAGTAAACAGCACCTCTCCCCTACACACACACACACACACACACAGAGCATGGGAATCTGGACATAACAAGAGAAACATGCTACACACTGAAAGACCAGACCTCCCGGCAACCCCCAGAGCCCACTGCAGCTCCCTCAGAGATGGGGACAGAGCCCCCTAGCATGTGGTGCCCTGCCCCAAGCCACTGTCTCAGAGGCAGGGTGAGACCAGCTCTGGGCAGGTCCCCACAGGGCCAGCCAGGCCTGCCACCCGGAGCCACTGGGAGTTTCCCACTGCACTTCCTGGTTTCATCTGCCCCCAGTGAGGGGGGGGGTCAGGCCTCAGCCCCGGGGCTCACACCTGGTGGTTGGTGCGCAGACCATCTGTCTGTTTCTGGAACACAGCCGCCCACAGATCTCTACACAGGAACTTGAGGGCATCCAGCTCCTCCCTGAAGGCCAGGGTGTCCCGGGGTAGCCTGGGGGTGGACAGGGGCAGGGAGAGAGAGGAAGCAGCTTCTGAAACAGCTCTACCTGGTGTGGGTCCTGATACCCACCGCCTGCCATGGTGGAGGCCCTTACCTCTCACCCAGAGATTGGCCCACACGAAAGCCCATGTTCTCCAGAACCCACAGGCTTGTCTTCTGTCCCTAGAAGAGTGGAAAATTTCAGGAGCACCTGCTACAACAGCTGGGAGGAGCTGTCCCGGGGCTCAGCTGGATACAGAAAGTTCAGGTAGCCTTCAACCCTGTACCCCAACACCACACCTTATGCTCTTGGGATTCCCACACTCACCCCCAGCAAGCCCTCAGGACTAGCTCCCCTTCCACCAAGCACAGAGAAGACCACACTCACTGTGAGGGTGGTCAGTGTGGCCCCTCACAGCAGGGTGGGACCAGAGGTTCTGTCCACTGTGTCATCACTGAGGGGACGTAAGCTCAGCCATTCACCACAGCGCCTTCCAGAGGGAGGCTGGACCGGCAGGGCCCAGGACTGTGCCGGGGCCTTAGAGAAGCCCTCGGGGAGGCCCTATCTCCCACCTGGAGGGAGACTGGGCTCAGCAGGGTTAGGGGCCACAGGTTGGAATCCTCAGCCATTTGAAATCCCAGGGGCAGCCTTGGCCCAAGGGCAAAGTTCTGAAGGATTAGGAAAAGAGGAGGACTGGAAACAGGAACCACACACAGGGAGGAAGCCGAATAAATGATGGTTCATTGCGGGAATTACAATCCAGGAGATGAAATAAGATGTGTCTGATGTGTTGAATGGAAACTGATGTCTGCTCTGTAACCCTTCACTCAAATTCACAATGTTGTTATGTGCCATCGAGTCATTTTGACTCATAGCGACTCTGTATACTGTTTCCAAAGAGGGGCTGGTGTACTTGCAGCTCAAAACAACTTTGCAGTCCAGCGCATTAACCAGCAGGGCCACACCAGAACTCCCAATTGACAATAGAATATTGCTGTCTTCCACCACCTGTACCCCAACCCCGGGAATCACACAACTTCCTGTTGACGACACCTCTGCTCTCTCTGGTGTCACTGGTCTACCTTGCTCGAGTTTCCTCAGAGCCGGCTACAGAAGAAGGGTGACTAATGGGGTGCAGGATGGGGGTGGGGGAGCAGAGTGGTGAGGGGGCAGCTCGGGCATCAGTGGGTGATAAGGGGCATGGGAGGAGGTGCCCTGTGTGTCCCTCTGCTGGTAATTGAGTGTAGTCTGCCACTGACCCTCGTGGACCTGGGCCAGTGGCCTGTCTCCTGCTTCAGTTTCCTCTGTGTATAAAGATCATGTTCCCGGTAGCACCTTCCTGGGATCTCTGAGGAATAAACGGTTTGGTGAATGTAAGCAAGGTGTTTCCAGTGGGGCATAGGCAGTGGTACCCTTCAGCATCACTGAGGCCACCTGGCTGATGAATCACCACAAAGTCCTTTACTGGACCATAAACCGCAAGAAGGACCAGGCTGTTCTCTGGGCTTCTCAAGACCCCCTCCCCAGCTACCATGGTGTCACCTCCCCTTAGAGATGTGCTCCACTGAGACCAGGAACGACCTGTGAATTCACCAGAATTCCCAGGGTCACTGAAGAGAGCCCAAGGCCCACTCACTCATTCCACAAACACTTCTGTGAGTCTCTAGGAACTTCTGGTCATGCTAAGAGGGTGACAGCAATGGGGACTAGGGGAGGGGACACCTGGAAGGATAAGGCCGAGGCCACTCCTCCTGGGGGCCAGAGAAGAGTACTCCCTACAGAGGCAGAAAGTTTCCAGAAAAGCTCAACCTGGCCAGGAAGGTGCTCAGTGTGGGAGTGGGGAGACTGCAGGGGCGGTAAGCAAGCAGGTCAGCTCTCTTAGGGTATGAGGAGGCCAGTGTGGCCGAGTGTGCTCCCTGCAACAGAGCTGCCCTTCTAGCTGGCAGTGAGAGGAAGTAAGCATGCAATGATGGATTTAATTACAACCACAGGCCGCCAGGAGGGAGAAGTGCTCGGTGCGTGACTTCGGCGAAAGGAGGACTGAGAGTCTGAGGGGAGAAGGACCTATGAAGGGCAGAAATGGGGGTGTTGGAGGGCACGATGAGGCCAGAGAACCAAGAGGACCCACCTGCCAGGCTGGATGTCAGGAGGGGTGTCTGGAAGTGTCAAATTGGTCCTCAGTGATCTCCAGACAGCCTGGGTTTGCACCCCAGTGCAAGGTCTCAGGCCAGTGATCTCGCTGTGGAGCCTCAGTTTCCCCCATGGCAGTGCAGCTGTGAGTACTGACTCTGCCATCGGTGTAGAACTCACTACCTCGGAGTCGAATGTAACCCTTAACAACCCTGAAGGGCAGAGAACGTTTCCAAGTCTTTCCGGGAGCAGACAGCCTCATCTTTCCCTTGAGGAGCTGCTAACAGGTTAGACCTGCCAACCCTGCACTAGAGATCTTTGTGTAAAGTATTAACACTGTCTTTGTTAAAGCTGCAAGGGTTAAATCCAAAACCTGTGTAAAGCACAGAGCACCCACCCAATCTGCAGCCAGGTTAACTGTGGGACCACCACCACCACCAGAGGCCAACTCCAGATCTGCTGACCGGGAGAGACTGGGGGGGGGGGCCCCACTCAGGCTGTCGGGGGATGCAGACAAAAGGGAGAAGGAGAGGACTCTGGGGAGGGGAGGGGTCGAGTGAAGATGAGAAAGGGAGGGACAGGAAGAGGTGAGGTACCTCACCCCGGTCTCTGCCATGGCCTGTCTCCCAGGGCTGTGTGGCATCCACACCTGTGTCCCAAGAGCTTTTGAGAGATTAATGAACTGTCATGCTCCAGGAAGGAGGGGACTGTCCCATTCATAGCCTCTGCGTCTGCTGAGTTCACAGAGTTCAAAGGACAGAGGATGGCATACGGAGAGGAACGGAACTCCCTAATCGGGGCACCCACCAAAACAGCACAGCCCCTGAGAGAGATACATAGAGGCAAAAGAAAAGTTCTTAGAAATGAAGACATGTGTGGGCCACACCAATGTTTTTTTTAATGAGGGATGTGAATTACAAACATGTCTGTAAGCGATAGAACCTCCCGGATCATCAAGAAAACACACAAGGCAGGAAGAAATAGAGGAGAGGTCCAAGTCTAGTAGTTGTCTGGGCACCACCTAAGGAAGAAACCAACAGAGAGTAAGAGGAAAATGTCTCCAGTTAGGGGAGGTTCGAGTGTTCAGACCAAAAGTGTCCACAGGGATCCAGGCAGGTAAATGAGCAAACCAGACCTGCCTGAGGACACATCGGGAGGATTTCTAACCTGGGCTGGGAAAAAGGAAGCGATCAGGAAGCCCAGTCAGGAGGGAGCTGGGTGGAGGCTGGGCCATCAGAGCCTTCCTTCTCCCTGACCTGCCCTCCCCCAACCCCCACTAGGTTATCTGGGAGATGCTCCACAAGGAGCCCGGATGGCACAGCAGGTTAAGCACTGGGCTGCCAACTTCAAGGTCAGTGGTTCAAATCCACCAGCCGCTCTGCGGGAGAAAGATGCTGTCTGTACCCATAACGATGGGCAGTGTCAGAAACCCTAGGAGGTAGTTCTGCTCTTAGTTGGTGTCTTAGATTTAGTTGTCTAAGTCCAGACAGTTACTAGACTTGGACCCCTCCTCTGTTTCTTCCTGCCTTGTGTGTTTTCTTGGTGATCTGGGAGGTTCTCTCGCTTACAGACGTGCTTGTCATTCACATCCCTCATTAAAAAAAACATTGGTGTGGCCCACACACGTCTTCATTTCTAAGAACTTTCCTTCTGCTTCTTCTTGCAAGGTTGTTGGTTCAAGCTCACCAGCTGCTTCCTGGAAACCCTATACAGGGTCACTATGAGTTGGAATGGACTCGACGGCACTTAACAACAACATGTATCTCTCGGGGGCTGTGCTGTTTTGGGGGTGCCCTGAATAGAGTTCTCTATAGTCACTGAGTCAGACTCAACAGTAGGATGGGTTTGGGTTTGCGCTCTCCTCAGTAGAGGGGGACTCTGTTCAGCCCCCACCTGCAGAGCCTTCTGGGCCAGGCCAGGGTAATGTAGCTTCTCAGCTCCTGTCTTAAGAAAATCCTGAAACTGGAAGCAAATTCTTCATCTTCTCAAGAAGACGCAAAAGAAATACCAGTGAGTGAACAGGTGAATGAGAATGAACAAAACTTCCTTCCTGTCACCCTGGACTCTGCTCCCTCACCCTCCAAGTTGTCGCAACTCACCTGTTAGACTGGCTTGTGTTCCTTGAAATCCTGGCTCCTATACCTCTAAATAAGGAGCTCTGGTAGCGTAGTGGTTACGAATCGGGCTGCGAACCTTAATGTCAGCAGTTCGAAACTACCAGCCGCTCCGCGGGAGAAAGATGAGGCTTTCTACTCCCGTAAAGATTTATACCCTCGGAAACCCTGTTCAGGGTCGCTATGGGTCGGAACCGACTCGACGGCACTTAACAACAACAACAACATACCTCTAAATGGGGAGCACAGTCGCTCCATACAATAAACACTGGTCTGTGAACCACAAGGTCAGTGGTTCAAGGTCAGTGGTTCAAGCTGTTCTGTGGGAGACCAATGACGCTTTCTGCTTCCCTAGATTTACAGCCTCAGAACCCTTATACACAGGGTCGCCATGAGTTGGAACAGACACTACATCACTTAACAATAACAGACCGATGAATGGAGTCCTGGTGTTGCGCTGTAGGGTAAGCACTTGGTCGGCAGTTCACACCCATCAGCCATTCCTTGAAAACCCTACACAGGGTCACTATGAGTTGGAACCGACTTGACTGCAATTAACAACATGGCTGTACATAAGAGGCCTGGTGGTGCTCTGTGCTAAGCATTGGGCTGATAATTGCAAGGTTGACACTTCAAATCCACTAGCCACTCTGTGGGAGAAACATGAGGCTTGTCTGCTGCTATGATGTTGTTGTTGTTGTTAAGTGCTGTCGAATTGATTCTAACCCATAGCGAGCCTGTACAGGGTTTCCGAGGCTGTATATCTATACGGGAGCAGAAAGCCTCATCTTTCTCCCATGGAGCGGCTGGTAGTTTCAAACTGCTGACCTTAAGGTTCGCAGCCTGATTCATAACCACTACGCTACCAGAGCTCCTGAAGATGTACAACCTTGGAAATCCTAAAAAGCAGGGTCACTGTGAGTCAGAATCCAGTCAAG